TCGTTTTAAAAAAGAATGACTTCCTTTACTCTTCAGTCTGTTTTAAAAAAAAAAAAATTTTTTTTTTTGGTAATATTTTAATTTCAGCTTTTCACGTGACATTTTTAAGGCCACAAGATTAAAGGATAATTTAATAAATTTGACATAATTTTAATTTAAACCAAAAAATTCAAAAGTTTTCTTTATTTTCTAAAATTTCGTGCTAAGTCAAATTAGACCACTCTTTTTTAAACGGAGGGAGTAATTGATAGCTGTATCCATCATTTCTTTTCTTTTCTCCAAACTACTACTACGTATATTTCATGTGGTTTCTATCAACGTACTCCACGTACGTACCTACCAAAAAAATATATATACAATTTTATATTTTTGTGTTTTGACCCAACCCTCTCCTGTTCAATTTTCTAGTATTTTTTTCCCCATTTTTACTGAGTATAATGCAATTTCTCATAATTTCCTAACATTTATATAATGAGTGTACTATTGACAAGTCGATTTATCAGGTTTTACATCAACTATTGATGAGATCAGTATTTTAAAGGGGGGCATGAGGCGAGGCGAGGCGATTTATACAGTACGGGGCGAGACGTGAGCCTCGAGACACGGGGTGTAAGTCCCATAGATCTACGGGGCGTAGTCTCATGTATATTCAATTTTATAGTTTTATTACTAATAAAATAAGCAAAAGTAAACATTTCAATGATTTTACAAATAATTTTTTTATAAATAACCTATAATATATGAAAATTATATTATGATTTTTATTTGAGATAAGTATTAATAATCACTAATAAAGATAAAAAGTATTATAATTACTATTTGAGAAATATCATTACACCAATAATAAAAATATGGTTTAAAGCAAAAAAAGTTCAAAAAAATAAATTAAAAACGCCCGGGCAGGGGCGGAGGCAGCATATCCGAACTCCCTCGGCGAAAAATATTACTATTTATACATGGTTAAAATTATTTTTTTAGGTATGTATAATAGATGTCGAACCCCCTTCCACTAGTTCGTGTGTTTACTTCTCAGATTTTGAACCCCCTTATTAAAATTTCTAGCTCCGCCACTGCCCCGGGCGTACGTTTTTACGCCCAGGACTTACATTTTTATGCTCGGGACTTACGCCTCAAATTTTAGAATTTACGCCTTATAAATCTACATCTTTAATTTACGCCCCGAAGCGTTTTTGATACGCTCCGCCTCGAGACTCGCCCCAAAAAAGTTTTTGAAAACACTGTATGTTGGGAAAATAATTTAAATTAGTGATTTATCAAGAAATATATGTACGAGGTCAATTGAAATTTTTAGACTAAAGTTAGAAGCCAAAAGAGCTTTGAAACAAAATCCTAGTTGGAATTTTCAGGCAGTAAGCTTCCTTTTTAACGTCCCCCTCGTATTCTTAAGTTGTCATATTGATTTTTGTCGATTATATATATGGAGCCATAAAATGATGATAGAAAGTCGTAACTTTAGAAAAAGTGTTACTTTATGAAATCAATGGATAATTTTATACTTACTTTCTAGTTTATCCTTATCATTAATTATAATCATTTCCCTATTACATTTTTCAAAATATTGTACTAATTATATTCAAAGGGTGATATAGTAAAATTATCCTTCTATTTATAGTTTCTTAAGGGGTGTGTCGAGTTAATAGTGGACAATTATTGTTAGACAGAGGGAATATTTATATTAAAGGCTAATATTGTATTTAAGGTGGTTGAAACTAGAGGATTGATGTGCTTCTTTTCGGAGTCGCGTACAATAGTTGTCGGATTAAACGACCTGAAGTATGCCTTACTGCCTCGAGCGATCGCTGCTTTTATGAGATTGCCATTACCCAAAAATGGACGTAATGACACTTATCTAATCCCACCAAGACAAGTTAGCCTCAATCCAACGAAACCAAACTAATGCAGAAAATAAAACAAGAACAAGATATAAAAGCGAAAAACTTATTCATTCTATTATAACCCCAAAATATGGTTGTCACGTGTGCAAGTTAAATCACTAATACATAAAGTTTAGAAATGAAAGATAATTACAAGTCTCAATGTCTTGGTTTCTCAAATAGAATAAAGCATAAAATAAGAAATAAGAGGGCCCGTCGGGATGACAATTAGCTACCTCTCAAAAGTCCTTTGACAAGCCTCGGAAATATGAGAGAAGAAGAACAATCACAGGATACCGAGCTCGGAACCTACATCAGTGTATAAGCAAGTAGTGAGTACCAACCAACACGGTACTCAACAAGAAAACCAAAAAAAAAGGCAAACTAGCTAGAAATCGAATACTTCTTTCATTCCAATCGAACCTCCTCAAACTACAACTTGCACAGAAATAAGCCCAACCTAATAATTTCTCAATACACGGTTCACAAGGTTTAAGCACACAATTCAATAGTCATAGTTCAACAACCAACATGTATCAAATATGTCAATCACAAGTAACAAGTAGATCGATCACAAGTCAACTCTTGTCGGAACCATTTTACATCAACACAATATCACTAGCCGACAGTATTTCCCTTCGACTTTATATCATATCACTAGCCGGAACCATTTTCATTCGGCTTAATATCACATTACTTGTCGGAACCATTTCCTTCGACACATTATCACATCACTAACCGGAACCATTTCCCTCTGGCTTTATATTACATCACTAGCCGGAAACGATTTCCCTTCGGCTCCATATCATAGCTCTTGTTAGAACCATTTTCTTTCGGCATGACATCACATGTATCATCACGGTGTATAACAATCAATACAAATAAGCAGTTTCACACTATACGGAACAGACAACAATTCAAGCAAGTAAAGATCACATTAATGTCATCAAAGCATTTCATCAATCAACCAAATAGGGTCCACACCAAGGTAATTCACAAAGCATTATGATCAACATGTTGCCTTATTATTAACTTCTTTTTTATTCGTTAAGGTTAATCAAGTGGAACAATGAGCCCATCACCTCATTCTCATTACTCCCCAACACACGCAATGAAGAGAAATACACGATTCTATTAGATTTACAAGGTTTAGAAGATCATTTGCCTTAATTCAACCAAATAGTCAATCCAAGACTTGAGTCTTCCCCTTTCAAAAAATGTCCAAAGCCACACAATCTATTTCAATCAAGTGATCACAATAAGATACCAGAAATAACAATATTCATATCATACTCTTTGAAAATTGGTCAATCAACTCAAAAACTCAATTCTGAAAATGAGGTTTGAATACAAAAATATTTGCTTGAAAATGTTACCCAAGGCATTTGGAACTCATTGGTGAAAACCATTTTGAAAAAGGACTTCAAATCAGTTCACAATCACCATTTTAGTTTAGAACTCAAGTTCTTGAAAAACCTTGTCATTTGCCAATCAAAATCTCAAGTTTTGATGTTAAAATTTATAAACGATTAATGGAAAATGAAGTTTTAAAGTTACAAAGGCTTACCCAAATGATTTAGCACAAAAAATCTCTTCAAAATCGCCTCCAAAGGTTTTACAAAGTTCAACAATGGAAAGTGTGGCTAAAACCTCAAAATTTGTAAGTCTAAAACCCCCCTTTGAAATCGTAAAAGCGGACCCAGATTTAAGCAGACATCGCTAAAGCGAACCACACGTTCACTTTTGCGAACCCTGCAAAAATGGACCCTCTCAAAAAAGCGAAGACTCCTTCACTTTTGCAAAATTCGCTTAAGCAAACAAGTCTTCACAAAGCGAGGCCTGCAGACACCAACAAAACACAAATCATTGAATGGATCCTCGGGATTCGTTCGGAATTTCGTACACACAAATAATATATGCAATTTAACTATACTCGATGTTTCGGACTCAATGGAACCATCGAAACATGAATCTGAGGTCTCCTTAATTTGAAACTCGTGAAAGTAACAAGAAATGAACATAACACCTAAAAAGGCTAAATCAAGTTCGGAACCTCTGAAAATTCAATCAAGACCTCACTTAGGCCTAAAATCATCCCTCGAATCTAACGTAACTCTTGAAATTCTGATCCAAGCCTCCGAACACCAAATGTCAACCAAAGGCTAAAATTTCACAAATTTCCAACTTAGGACCTCAAATCATCAAAAAGACTCATAATTTGAAACCGACAACTTTCATAGACCAATTTTCACATTCTAGAACTGATGGAATCGACGAAATTTCATTCCAACCTCGAAACTCCAAAAGACATCGAAAACCACTTTTTAACAACTTTAGCATTTCAACTCAAAACTTACAAAATTCACAACTTTTTACTCAAAACTCGAAACCAACTTTCAAAACTCAATTAGAAATAAGTCAGGGTAAATATCGGGAGGGATAAAATGGTAATTTTATGAAAGTTTCAAAAAATGACCAACTGGGTCATTAAAAAGATGTTTGCTTTTTCTTGTTGTTATCAGTTATTGGTTGGTAGGGATTTTGATTTCGTTTGTTGAGTTAAACTAGTCTAGTTGTAATGACGACCTTAAAGCACTACCTGTTGTCTACGATTCATTTTTTCGATTGGTCGAGCTTCATAGCGACACATTTGAGGCTCAAGTTGAAAGGTATGTTTAAGCTTTAATTCCTGTTTTGACATGATCCTAATGACCTAAGCTTGTATATTATCGTTATTTGACTTATATCCTTATCTTATTGAGTTGACTACCATATCATGATATAGTGTCTATCAGTAACACTCTTTTTCTAACTTAGCGGTGTAGAAAAATATGTTATGATTGTGTTTAGGTCACTATGATTACTTGTTATAGTTATGATGTTTCTATCGTATGGTTACCGCCTATGGGCTTGTTCTGGCCTCATTAGACCCATAAAAATTTGGATACACCAGGCCTATGGGTCGGGCTGATTAAGCCTACGAACTAGACAACAACATTGAACTTACGGATCGAACAATTTATACCTATGAGGAAATTATTATATTGTACCATTGAGCATGAGAGATGTATTGATTCACGATGCCTGAAAATTTAAACAATACCATTATGTTAAATCCCTCCAAGGCAATTCTCATTATATCCGATCACCAATGAAAATCGATTATCTACAGCAAGTTGTTTAAACCCAAATTCACGGTACAACAACAACAAACAAAAAAAAAAAAATTAAAAAAATTGTACCAACAGGGTTTCTAGAGGCCAGTTGCAAATTGCTCAGATGATCTTCAGATTTGACACAAATGATCTTCAGCAAGATAAGTAGCCATATTTGGCATATGAATCAGTCATAATGTCACTACTGGCACATTTACATAAGACTTGGAACAATATGTCAAAAATGAGTTTTCTTGCAGTTCCTTTTCCACCAATAAGCTAATAGAATCATTTCAGCGAAGAAGAGTAAAACAGATCATCCTTTGTTAATTCAGACTCGGAACGATTACCTTCAACTGACGATGGTTTACAAAACATGTCTGATATCAGCGATAATTCCTGAAGAGTGAGCCTTTTTTTGTTCTTCTCCGATCTTATTGCCTTCAATATCAACATGTAAAATCCATCAAACTATAAGCAGACATCACAAGTATACGATAGATACACAGATAAACACCTCCATATGCTATGATGGATGACAAACAACTGCATTACATGATAAATCACTATCCACAACCCACATAGCAAACTCTTCAAGTCGTTTTTGTATCCGTTCTGAACCCATCTCAGGTGACCAAAAGGCAAACTTCTTTCCATTCCTTGAAGAGGTTTGGTTAGCATCCATAAAACTGATGTTCAAACTAAAATCAGTTTCATCAACCCTGTTAAAAGTAGTTTTCTTTTGTTCCAATAACTTCTCAACTAGATTTACAAAATTTCCCTCTGTGGCAATTGAACCTCTAGTCTTCAAAGTGGCAACCGAGGCAACAACTTTGTCCAAAACATTGTCGACCCAAAATTTTAAAGCAAAAGCTGAATTTCGTATGAAGACAAGTTTAAAGTTCTTCCCCAAAAGAAAGTCATTAGCCGGATCATACGAATCAAGAAATGAATCACTGCTGAGAGGAATCACATCACCATCCACAACCCATGTGTTGTATTTAAGTTCCAAGGACTTTCTAACTACATGGGCCTTCACAACAATCTCTTTGCCCAACTTTTCATGCGATTCGTCAAAGTTAATCGAGTTTTGTAACCTAATACTGTCAAAAAGTTGGTCTGTGTCAATCACATGATGACCCCTTCTTGCAAGATCAAGTAGGAAAGAGGACTGTGGACCCAATAAGACATAGTTTTGGATATTCAATCTTTCAAAGTGGCAGAGAAGATTCCTAATAATTGACTCTGACACCTGTTGTAGGTTCACAAATAGTATAGTCCTCGATTTCTGAACCGAGTGAAGAACAGACGCTAGATCATCTGAACTACGTACAATTCTACCAGGAGAAACTTCCTTGAAACAGAAATCGTACCACTTCAGACTCTGCAAAGATTGCATCTTCAAAAGGTTAATATCAAAAGACTTCTCATCCACTAAATAAGAATCTGGCCCAGCCGATTTCCCATAGTTAACACCAGCATCGCGATGAGACACACTAAAAGCTCGCTCATGCAAAAGATTGGTGTAAATATTAAAGTAACCACGGGCATGGATGAATTTAATGAACCAAGGTGTCCAGATTCTTTCCCCCATCTTTTTGTACCATCCGGTTGTCACCTACAAGCAAATTACATTTTACAGTAAGAGTAATAGTTAATTTTAATAGGTTTGTCAATATCTTCACTACAAAATGCAATGAGAAGAGCAAATTCAGGCAGTACACTACCATCCCATCAAGAAATGGCTTCAATCCCTTGGCCTTGTGTGTGTCATACCATATGCGGAATTCTTTCCAAGGTTTTGGAAACAGAAGCTGACCCCAGGTGCCAACCAACTGGTACAAGAAAAGTTGAGTTCCATCATCGATCTGCATCTTGTTTCCATGCTTACCTGTTTGGCAAAACTACATTATATCATACAGATATGAGTAGCACATGAATGTTAAAGATTATTATAGAGGATATTAAGAATGATAAAATTTCTAGAGCATAAAAATACTCCAATATCCAACCAACACATACACCTGCAAAAAACAATGATGGGCATGTATTCCTCAGTGAAAAAAAAAGTAACTTAAAGTAGGTTTTAGGGTATTCTAAATTTTATGAAGCATACAGGATAGCTCATGGAAATTTACACTTTTCAGGGAGGACCCCCATACACCAAAATGTGGAATATTAAGAGTGTTGAAGAGCTAGTCTATGAAGTTTTATCATATCTACAGTTTCAAATACCAAATTGGAAAAGCATGACACATTTATTTTAAGTTCTCAACATGAATGTTTCAACAATGTAATAACAGACACATTTAAAAATCCCCTGCTGTTATGGACATAGAAGCACATTAACAACGCCAGGTGGGTAGCACAAAAGGCTATAAGGTTGATTTGTACTTTGATGATTATAATTACAATGAGCCAAAATATCTCAAAACAGAGTGTTACAAAGAAGATGATAACTAGCTCAAGGGCCACAAATCTTGCTCTGATAATTAAGGGCATCGATAGTTAAGTTTTCTCCAAATAGAAAAAAACAAGAAGGAACAAATAATCTAGATAACATTTTGCACGTCAGCGCTGTTCCTCTATAAATTATCTTTGAAAATATGAGATATGCCTTAGGAACCCCAACCACAGGAAGACCGAATTCATGTGCAACTAATTTAATAAGACCGGTCATAAACACAAAAAGTAGATAGGAGTACTCATACTCAAGGATCGAAAGCTCTCACAGCGTCGAGGCAAAAGAATAACTCCTATTGGAAGAAGAGCGTTTATAATCAAAGCTAGAGGAGTGGAAGGGAATTAAATAGCAACAGCCGCTACTTCTGTCTGTGTCTATCTTCTCCTATTGATTAAGCATTGAAAGGGTTGTTAGAAAGTGAGTTTTAAAGCATGAACTTCCACAGATAGAACCGTGGATAACGCTGGTCGCCTGGTCCTGATTGATTGTTTTGAAGCGAAGGGCTGTGGCCTACTAATGAGTACATATATACAGTCTTCGTGTTAGAAAAAGAATTAAAAGGGATATGTGCAAAGTCTACAATCAATACCAGGGAATTGGCCAGGTATTATTTTGCTTGCTCATAGTTTTACCTATTTCTAAGTAATTATTCATCTTCCACTACCAGAGGCCTCCAAAAAGGTGTTCATATGCATTGCACTCTTCATGTCTTAGTTCACCATCGTTCAGAATATGTTAGATAGTTGATCATTCTCGACTGCCTCCGGTCTGGTAGGTCGGACACCTCTAGCCGAACTATGGAGCTAAGTTTACACTGCCACGTCGAGACTCTCTTTTGAAAGAGAGATACCGGCTTCCACAAGAGGGAAAGATCACCTTCACCGTGTATCAGAGCAGTGTTAAAAGGAGTTAATTCTTCAACTATGTTCTTTCTTCATTCATTTTATCTCTTTTTAATAGTGAATGCCAAAATAGTCTTTAATTTGTTATACTTTCCCGAGGATGTCCTTTCTTATATTAAATTGAAGAGATTCCCGGGAAAGAAGGTCTTGAAAGTTACATTCAGAAAGAAGGTCGTGAAAGTTTCATTCAAAAAGAATTCGGAATTAAGGCATTGAAAGTTTCATTTGAAAAGAATTCATTAAACACAATTCCAGATATGTGTCTGTATTAAGGGAAAGGTATATTTTATACAACATTTCACTTTCTGCATGAGTAATCCATAAAAATCAAGGATAATATTTGATACCATAAGAAAGCATCCAATACAAAATTATGTCTCAATGCAAACCAATGAGTAGCTGTCAACAATCCACTTTGCCTTCTTCCTCAGTTATGATATATACAATTAACATTACTTTGCCCATTCACATAGATCAATATCTCAAAACCATATTCTTATCCAAGGAAAATGAAAATCTCAAAATCATGGGGAGATTGTTGCGTCCAAGAGAAATTAGAGATAGACAAATGAATGAACTCCTACAGTTGTATCAATCCCCAGTTTCTTCTCTACAGCAATTTAGACAAAACATGACATACTATCATACTAAACACCAAAAACAGAAAGAAAGAATTTCACCGAAGAAGAAGTTGTGGTACATAATTACATGTGATAAGTACTTACGATTAAGAAGATGATAGCTGCAGACAACCCAATTTCATTACTTTCCACAGAGAGAAGTTCATTTATCCAAGAACTTACATCAGAAAGATTTATTTCACTACCATGGATCCTCAATGAATCTTACCTCAGAGTACTTTTGGCTAAGAGCCAAATATATTACTTATTCCTTGGGAAGGGTGATAGAGGTCTTTGTAAGGATTGCAAGGTTAATCTCGAGTGAGAATCTTACAACCCAACAAAAGCTCTTGGCAATGGATTTGGAGATTAAGTTGAAGAGGAAGAAGAAGGTTGGGTGCGGTTGACCAAGGATCAAATGAGGTGGCTTGACGGCTGCCAACAATCTGGAGTTGGGGGAGATGGAGGCTTGGGGGTGTAGTGGAGATGCAAGTGATATGTGGGATAGAGTGGCTAGTTGCATTAGCGAGGCCACGGGAGAGGTGTTGAGGGTCTCGAGGTGATCGAGGGGATTGGTAGTGGAATGGAGAAGTCCAAGGGAAAGTCGAAGCAAAGAAAGTTGCTTACGTGCAATTGGTGGAGAGGAAGGACGAGGAGGTAAAAAAGATGTGAACAGGGAAAGGTATAAGATGGCGAGGAAGGAGGCGAAGTTAGCGCTGACAGCGGCAAAAAAGGCAGTCTTTCAACGCTTGAATGTGAATTAGGTGACAAAGGAGGGGATAAGAAGTTGTACAGGCTAGCCAAGGTGAGAGAGGGGAAGGCTCAAGACTTGGACCAAGTGAAATGCATCAAGGACGAAGAAGACAAGGTATTGGTTAAGGAGGCACTCATAAGGTGGAGATGGCAGACTTATTTCCATAAACTCTTGAATGAGGGGGGGAAGGGACATTATGCTAAGTGATCTGGAGCATTCTGTGAGTCGTTGCAATTATGGGTATTGTAGGAGCATAAAAGTTGAGGTTAAAGTTGTTATTTATAGGATGTGCAGGGGTAGGGTGATTGGGCAAGATCAGATCTCGGTGGAATTTTGGAAGAACATAAACAGAGTGGGTTTGGAGTTGTCGACCGAGTTGTTTAACGTCATTTTAAAACGACAAAAATGTCTGAAGAATGGAGGTGGAGTACAATGATTCCATTGTACAAGAACACGGATGATATTCAAAATTGCGACAACTATAGGGGAATCAAGTTTTTTTTTGATGAAGTAAGTAGATTCATTTCAAGGCATCAAGAAGATGCAAGCTTTACAAGGATAGATCAGTTAAGCTCACAAAAACAAGGATTTGTAGCCCCTTTCTAAGCTATAGAGCTAACAAAATCCAAGAAGAGTTCTAAATTATTTACAGGGGTCAGTTTGGACCAACTAAAAAGGCTAACTAGACATCTGCCTCGCAAAAGATTTCTAGAAGTTGAAATTCCATCAAAACATCTTTTGTTCCACTCTGTCCATAAACACCAAAAGATAACACCAGGGATCATCATCGGCATACTCTTGATGGTTTTCTCAACATCCCGTGAACTCCAACTTTCAAGAGCATCCCTAACAGAGAAAGGCACACTATGAAGTTGTTGGGAGAGAGTGGTGGAGTTAAGGGTAAGGTATGGTGGGACTATTCCTGAGAACCAGTATGGTCTCATGCTGGGGTATTCTACTACCGAAGACATTCATCTCGTGAGGAGACTAGTGGAGCAATATCGGGAGAGGAAGAGGGACTTATGTATGGTGTTATTTGACTTAGAAAAGATATATGATAAAGTGCCTGGGGAGGTCCTATGGAGATGCTCGAAGGCTAGAGGTGTTCAGATGGCTTACACTAGGCAGATTAAGGACATGTACGATAGAGCTAAGACACGAGTAACAATAGTGCGAGGAGACTCAAAGCCCTTCCCAATCGTGATGGGATTGCACCCGGATCGGCTCTTAGTCCATTTCTTTTTGCCTTGGTGATGGATAAACTGACACGACATATCCAAGGTGAGGAACCATGGTGTATGTTATTTGTAGACCACATAGTACTGATTGATGAGATTCGTGACAGAGTTAACACTAAGGGTGTATTCGGTATGAAGAAAAATATTTTCATGAAAAATGTTTTCAAAGAAAATAAGTGGAACCCTTACTTATTTTCTTGTGTTCGTTACATAAACAAAAATATTATCCTAAAAGTATTTGTATATAATCTAAGCAAATATTATGAGAGGTGGGTGGTGAGGGTGTGGGGTGGTAAGGGTGAAGATGAGGTATGTCAAAGGTTAGGGAGAATACAGTTACTACGAAATGCCACTTGCTAAACTTGTTTTCCCTACTTCTACTAGGAAGTCATTTTCCTCATTTTTAAGGAACTGATTTTCCTAGAGAATATTTTTCAAATATTTTGACCAACCAAGCATGAGAAAATTAAAAAACATTTTCCAAAAATATTTCCCTCCATACCGAACACACCCTAAGTTCGAGATTGAAGACGGACTTAGTCTAAAGGGTTCAAGTTGAGCAGGACCAAAATTGAATACCTGGGAAGTGAGACATGATACACTCCCAAGAGGAACATTTTCAAGTATCTTGGGTTTTTAATTTAGGGCAATGCGGAGATCGATGATGATGACACACATATTAGTGTAGGGTGGATGAAATGGAGGCTCGCCTCTGGAGTCCATACCACCAAAAATTAAAGGAAAGTTCTACAGAATAGTGGTTAGGTCGACTATGTTGTATGGAACAGAGTGTTGACCAATTAAGAACTCTCATGTCCAAAATATGAAAGTGGCGGACATGAGGATGTTGAGTTGAATGTGTGGTCGTACTTAGGAGAGATAAGATTAAGAATGAAGATATCTAGAACAAGGTGGGAGTGGCCTCTGTGGTGGACAAGATGAGGTAAGTGAGACTGAGATAGTTCGGGCATGTGAAGAGAAAGTGCACAGAGGCCCTAGTGAGGAGGTGTGAGAGGTTGTCCACAGTGAGATTTAGGAGATATAGAGGTAGGCCAAAGAAGTATTGGAGAGAGGTGATTAAACGAGACATGGCGCAACTTTGGCTTTTCGAGGACATGACCTTAGATAGTTGGTTATGAAGGTCGCAGATTAGGGTAGAAGGTTAGTAGGTAGTTGAGCGTTGTCTCTTTTCTAGCAGGGATAGGTTGGTGCATTGTGTTTGTTTTCGTGTTTATACTAGTAGTAGCAGCATTTCTCTCGTAGTTGCTTGTCTTACAACTTTTGTTACTCCTAATTTATTGTGCTTAAGTTATTGCATTGGTTGGTTATGGTTATTGCTCCTCTTTTGAATGTTATGTTATGTTTTCCCTATTATATTTTGCCCTTTTTTCTTCTATATTTTTCTTTTAGCTGCTCTGATCTCTGTTACTCAAGCCGGGAGTCTTCCGAAAATAGTAGGTAGAGGTAAGGTTTGCATACACTATAACCTCCCCAAACCCCCTTTTGGGACTACACAAGGTTTGCTATTGTTGTTGTTGTATCCTCAGATGATCCCTCCAAACATACCTGATAACAGATTGCTTACATTCATTGAACACAAACCAATTCGCACTTTTCTTCTTAACCTAAAACATAATTCGCTAGGAGCATACATCAAGATACTTACAACTTTGATTATAACATCACAATGCTGAGTATAACTCGAAACTAAGAAATTTCATTAGATTTAATGACAGAAGGTGCACTCAGTTGTAATTTGTAATAGAGAACGATAAAAATATAGATTGCTATGTTCAGGATTCTTTTATCTGGAATGAATAAATGCAATTGCAATTTCATTATGAATCAGCGACTATTCGCAAAAAACATACCTAGCTAGCACTACATTAGACCAATAAAACACCTAGTGGACTAACAATATGGCTGAACAATAAAAGGAAAAAAGAAAAATGAGCTAGACAAAAAGTAAAAACAACCTAGCATTGTTGCAGTCGTCTGAAAAAACTTAAGGACGGAAGGAACGGTTTGTGTACCTACATCTAATCAAAGTATAGCTACTTAACTACCAGAAGTGCACAGAAATATAATTACAGCATACTCAAACACAGATTACCATAAAGAAATCATTTCTTCTACAAAAGTTAAACAACACTAATATCGTTGAAAGAAATAGCAATGAAAAGAAACTAAGTACCTGGTACAAACCTAGGCCTCTGCAAGGAAGCCCCATAAATCATAGGACTATAGTTTGAGTCATTATAATAATAATTGTCAATCAAACTCTTCAAGAACCGAAAATAAAGAGGTGACAACTCAAGATCATCCTCCACAACAAAAGCAAACTCATCATCCGAGCTAGGCCACCAAGCCTCTAACCACTGAGCCTGAAGTCCAGCATTAGAAGCCCTATAATGAACCAACTTTTCCCCATATTTCCATGAAAACCCATCAACAAAATCAAGAATTCTTTTCGAAAGATTCAATTTTTGGTCGATTTCCACATACCCATTTGGGGAATCTTGAAAGTGATCAATGTAGATATGGAGATGAACAACATGGTTATCATAATGTGCTTTGGAAAGTGAATTGAGACACCTAGAGAGGGACTCAAGACGGTTAAAGGTGAGAACTTTGATTAAAAAAGTGAAGTTTTGATGGGTTTGAGGGGTGTTTGGGTTAAAGGAGAAAGATTTGGTGGAATTCAAGTTTGTAGGATGGTAAGAGAAGAGGAAAAGAGCAGAAAGAGAGAGGAGAATGAAAAGAGGGATGAAATTTTTCAGGGTTTTCTTAGGTTGTGCCATATGATTGTTCACTCTTCAGTTATGTCATCTTTTGCTCTTTTTTTGAGGTTTTCTTGGAATACTCATAGAGCAACTTCCATGTTTGGATCTCAATAGAAAGGGAGAAGAAGAGTGTGAATGTTCTTACATTGGCCCCAAGATTCTCTCATAATTACAATCATACTCCCTTGAGTATATTTTTTTTAGCGGATTGTTATCCCACTCTCAATATGGGATAAAAACAATATTACAATCTCGAAATAAGTTATTTTGTGAATTTACTTCATTTATTGCTAATTACTTGTTCAATTTTTCTTTTTTACTTGTTCATTTTGATAAGGATAAAAAAAATTTACCTATTATATCCTCAATTAATTACTTTGAAAAAGTTAGAACTTCTTGAAAATCTTAAATTTTTAATTCATCCACTTCATAATTAATAGGGGTAAAATGATAAACTTACTATGACAATCATTATTTTCTTAATAGGTGTGTCAAATTCAAAAGTGGACAAGTAATTAGGTATAGATGGAGTATGAGATAAACTCATTTTTAAAGCAATCTCAATACTATTTATCTTTTGTTCTTTGTACCAAATGAGGTCGAAGAGATAATTTCAGTCGCCTCGCACCCTCTAGACTTAGCTTTATAACATTCACCTTTATTGTGGCTTACAATATTGTATGTACCTTTGTACTTTTGATTTTTTCTTAATAAAAATATGGTTGAGCAGCTATGGCTATTCATTTGAGTATTCAGGTAATGAATAGTCAATGAGCGAAGGGCGCAGTTACCACAGCTATGAGTTCAAGCGGCTACCCTATAGTAGCAGTTCATTGAGGCTCGACAGACCTGGGCTAAGGAGATGATCTGGGTAAACCCCCTTTTTTGTGAGGTAAGGCACCTCCCACTTTCTGCTAGAGCAAAAATGAAAGAAATCGTGTATGTAATCCGCCCTCAAAGAGAGCTCAGCTCAAGAGGACTACATTCAACAGAAGAACGAATGAAAAAGGAATTCCTACAGGGAAAGGCAAATTGAAGGTTTGTCCATTAGCGCCCAATCTAACACATTTGATCTATCAATATGGATTGTGGTGTAATAGTGTAGTTGTTTTAACCCAAATTAGAGGTCTCAAATTCAAATCTTGAGTATGGAGAAAATCTTGCTAGGAATGCCAGCCCCAATATGGGTCCTGCAATGCATGATTCAAAGTTAATTGAAGGTTCAATATGAATACCAAACATCAAATGAGACAGGAAAAAAAACTCTTTGTTCTTAACTCCTAAATATCTTTCACATCCTCATCCAAGTTTTACTTTTATTCAGTAATCAAAAGCTTCTAACATATACTCCCTCCATCCCATTTTATATGTCACATTTTTACTTTGCACTTGCATTAAGAAATGATGTAACTTTACCCTTCTACCCTTATTTAATTTTTTGGAACTCAAGTTTTCAATCAATGAATGTGAATTAATTTATTGTGATTAATTAATTTAACCAATGAACATGAATCATTTACTTAACTTTTCTAAGTTGGTCAAATGTATGTTTTCAATGCTAATAACTCACAAGGATAAAAAAAAAAAAAGAAGGAAAAATATGCTAATTTATGCATTGATTTTATGAAATGACAAGTATTATGGACCAACTATTTATAGAAAGGGGTGACATATAAAATGGGACGGAGGGAGTATTACATAAAATGAATTCCAATTGCAAATGCTATAAGAAATTCTTGCTTATAGAATGTTGCTCTTTTATTATTACGTTGTAATGATTGGGTTGGTCACATTTTAGTCCTTTGAAGAGTTTTAAAGGAGTTTTCATTTGAGTAGATTCAACAATTATACCAATTGGTATATATGTGGTCTTTCCTACCTTAAAATAGTTTACCAAGCAAAGTTATTATTGTATTAATGGTTGTTGAAAAAAATATTATAAATATCTCAAAATGAATAAAATTATATTTGCGATTAATTTTAGTCAAACAAGTTAATTATATACTCCCTCTGTCCCTAATTACTTGTCTATTTTTCCTTTTATAGTTGTCCCTAATTACTTGTCCATTTTGACAAATCAAGAAAGGACAAAAAAAATTCTTATTATACCCTCAATTAATTACTTTGAAAAAGGTACAACTTTTCGAAAATATTAATTTTTTAATTTATCTACTTCATAATTAATAGGGGTAAAATGGTAAACTCACTATGTCAATAATTGTTTTCTTAATAAGTGTGTCAATTCAAAAGTGGACAAGTAATTAGGGATAGAGGAAGTATTTATTAGCTTTAATGATAATATTAATCTGTCATTATTTTTTGTTATACATTACTATTTCCTCTATTCCATATTAACTGATCACCTTTCTAAAAATACTTGTCCCAAATTATTTGATCACTTACTAAAACAAGATAAAATTAATTAATTTTTTCTCATTTAACCCCTATAATTAATATCATCATCATGCTTAATATTCTCATAATTTCTCTTTGGAAGCTTAAACAAAATTAAAGTTCCTAAATTTATCAAAGAGTTCATTAAATACTTAATTACTTATTTGTACTCTTGCTCTCACCCACTTTGAAGTACTTGTACCTTTTGTATGCCTCATGTCATCATAAATTATCTTGATATCCATCAATATAGATTAAGGGTAAATTAGTCAAATTGATCATTTTATTTATGATTTTTTAAATATCGTGTAAAATAAAAAGTGATCAGTTATTATAAGACGGAGAAAGTAATAGCTAATGTTCAAAAATTGAGTTTATATAGATTAAATTATCATAATGGACAATTGACTTTATGACCTTGACGATCATTTTTCATGTTTGATTGAATACATTGGCAGATGGTTGAGCATATCTTTTGTTAAGGATATTACTTTTGTTATCGTGGATTACGAAAATGATCAATGTGCTACTATTACTAACAATACCACTATTGTTGCACAAACATCTCATGATGTTATTTTTGTTGTACTTTCATACACTTGATCAAACACTTCTTCGATATTTCAAAGGTGAAAGTTTCTTATGGACAAAATTTTAAGAGATAGCAAGGACATATTTTCTCTACTCTTGACATGTATGGTGTGACATTTGTGGTAACAGATTTAAATCTTGATGAATTTATTTCTGATCAACTAAATCAATGAATTTATGCAATAAGATACGTAAGCACACTATGTTAAATATCTTTTTAATAAATTGTTCAATGTATATTGTTTTAATAAAGAATCGATGAAAATTTCAGTTGCTTGCTAAATATACTAATGAATATGCTACCAAATAAAAGTTTACTATTGATAACTTTTTCAAATGAAAGATAACTAGCTAGAGAGAAATACATAAAGGTCGTGTCAACGAGTTTCACAAACTAGTTAAAAAATTTAAGTTGGAGAAAATCAATCAATTTCTGACAAAACAAAAGAAAATGCTACGAAACTCAATATTATGAAAGATAATGTCTCACAATAAAAATATCAGGTATGAAAGTTAATATTATCATGTTGTTCTTTTCCTAGCAAGTGAACACTGCGTCCAACGTGAGTGATTGGGTGATAGGCTATAATGCTATTAGGTATATTTGTGTCAATATAATTGATTTTGTATCTTACATCTAAGCTAGCGTTTGGCCTCAAGTTTCCAAATATTCTTGGCAAATAATATTTGGGTCAAGTTTTTGGTCAAATTACACCATATGTTTGGCCCCAAGTTTTCCCAAGAAGATTTGACTATTTCAAAAAATATGATTTATACTCATAAGTTTTAAAAACTATTTTTAAAAAATCCATAAATTTGTATTATCTATTTATAGTGAATATATTCTATTAAAAAATAACCTTATAACATAATTGATAACAATCAACAGCAACAAAATAACAATATAGGAAAGACAATATATTAATCGCATATTCAAATTTGTCATTGATTCGGTTATAATTATAAGTTTATAACCCATTAAAAATAAATTGTTCTTTTTTCTCTATTTTGTCACTCAAATTAGAATTCGAACTTTCCGGGAGGAGGTAGTAACAAATATTAGTTGGAATTAATAAATAATAAGTATTTTTTTTTATAAAATATGAAAGTTTGGGGTAATTTTTGAATTTTTTAAAATTCCCAAATATTAGAACTTGGCCCAAATATTAGTTTTTTCTAGTATTTGGGAACTTGGGATACTTAGCAAATATATTTGTCAAGTTATATGGCCAAACACCACTTCCCAAGTTTTTCCCAAGTATTCTTAGGGCCAAACGGGTCTTAAGTCAATGATGGAGAAAAATTTGTGTATCCTGTTAATTTCTACAACCACTCAAATTCTTGAAAAGGAATTTTTTTCTCAAACTCACATATAGGGTTGTTCAAAATCGAAATGAAACTGATAACTCGAACCGAAAAAAAAGTTATTGGTTTATCAGTAATGGGTTATTGATTTAACGGTTTTGATAACAGTTTTGATTTTTTTTTGTTATCGGGCTATCGGTTCTTAACGGTTTGGGGTTTTTTCTTAACGGATTAATCGATAACCCGATAGTAAATTAAATAATTATATTTATACCATTTTGTATATACAGTCCTTGACTTAGAGTTTGGTTTCCAACTTTTATTTTTGGTTGTGTTATTCTACAATGTAAAAGTGTTTCCTTTTGAGCAAGATGTAACTTGTGAACTCATGTGCATGGTTCATTTGGTTTGTCACCTTGTTTCTAAGTGGTTTTCAATATATATTTATTTTTGTGTCAAATCTTAGCGATTAAACCGATAACTGAACCAATAACGATCAATAACCGATAAACCAATAATCGATAAGTCAATATCTTAATGGTTCTATAACGGTTTAGCACCTTTACAAATCGATAACCAATAAGCTAAATCGATAAACTTCAAAACCGAACCGAACCAATCGATAAGCAACCACATATGAAAAAACTTTGATATTAACTCAAACTAGTCAATACTTTGGTTCAGAAATGCCTTTATAATTATTAAATGGGTCAAAAAAACCATTTTCTAAATAAATATATTATTTCTTTTCTTTTAAAACATATCTTCTTCCTAATTAAAATATTATTAAAGACTTTTATTCTTGTTTTCTTTCTTTTAAAAATCACTTTCACAAATAAAAATGTTGTAAATAATTTTTTTCCTC